TCAGGGTCTTTAGGCCTAACTTCAATGTAAAAGTGCAAAAGCATCTGATGACCCCTTATATGAGTTATTGCCTTTTAACTTCTTTGTACTTACTACTAAACCTTATAACTTCAAAACTATAAGTCATAGAAGCATGGGGTCAATTGCACTGTGACCCTTGACCTTTGACCTTGAATATTTTTTCAAGGTCAAAGGTCAAGGTCATTCATTTTTTTTTCATTTTCATTTTTTTCTATGGTTTAAGAGAGTTTTGCTTTCTTTTTCATGAAATGTTATTTTTAGGAGTCAGATATTAAACAAATTTGAAATTCAAAGAAGGTGGAAAGACCTCTTATTGTTCTGTGAACAATAAGTCTCCTAGTTTTTAATAATTTTCCTTCATTTCCATGCAGTGCTAACCTTTTTCAAGCCTTTTTTTTTTTTTAAAATAAAGCAACGCTATTTTTATCGTATTTTAGGTAATATTCTGATAAACTGAGCAAGGCGGAAAATGTTAATCGTCATTTCATGCATATTTATTTATTTTATGTAATACATACATCAAATGAAAATGGCATTTTACAGGGTCGTACATAGCACTGACAATGTGTACATGTTGATACCAAACATGATTTGTAAGTATGTGTGCAACAATTGTTGTCATATTGACATCAAGGCTGTTATGCATAGTTTCTGACTTCCCTTTTCGTCTAACTTTGACACAGTCAAAAACTTCATATAAATTTATTTAGTGTCTCGTCTTGTAATCATTTTTTTTCTTTTCGCGGCGTTTCTATATTATAGGAAGACAATGTTAATTATTTTATCAGCAGATAGACAAAATATGATTTTAAATTAAATAAATATCACTTATTCAAATAAGTTATATCACCATTTCAATTTGAATGAGTGAGATCACATATTCTAGTAGGTGATATCATCTATTAGAATAGGTTATATCACTTAATCGCAATAATTACCAAAAAATCACATCATGCTTTCCGGCTCCGATTTGAACTATTGCAAGTGTGTCTATCAGGATACCCAAAATATGCAGCTCTGTACAATGAATTGAAGTCATGCAATTGGTTTTTGCGAATGAAATAATCTTCCAGTCTATTTATACAATTTGATTCAATTTGTATGAACCGAAGCTGTTATTCGTGACAGGGGCTTAAGTTTTTGTTGCAAGATTTCTTTGACCATACACGATAGTCTAGTCATTTCTAATAAAGCTTTCTTACACAAGCATCTTAGAATATTAAAATATCATATCAAAAATTATGAAAAAAAAATCAAACAGATTTTCGATTATGTTTTAAGACACAGCAGGTATCATTACAGGATTTCTATAGGTTAATTTTCTTTCAATTTACGAGTCATCAATTGGGCTAGAAAACAATCAACATTGTTAAACAGGGGTTATCTCAAAGTTTTGTTGATAAGAAGAACATCCATCATTGTGTGTGCGTTTTATTTAATATGTTTTAAATTGTCCAGCTCCTTGACGCTGTGTATATCCGCACGGCAAGCCTTGCAAATATATGCCAATTGATAAAGCAGATATAAAATATGTACATATCCTCTATATATTTGAAATAGTTGTCTAAAAGTGTTATTGAATTTGTAGACAAACTCTCTACCAGTCCACCATCTCTGGTCGAGTGTGGCCTAAAGAGTCCTTTCTGGTAAGGATTAAATATTTTCTTAGGTCACCTAAGTCACTCAGGTAATCTATTGCTATCTATTTTCGTCCTTTGTAGTTTGTCAGACATTAATATTTGAACATTTACTACATCTTCTCTGAAACCGCTCAACTAATGTCAACCAATTTTGGTTCATAGCATTCACAGGTGAAAGGAACCAAATTTTGAATTTTATGGTCAATGTCTCCCCTTCAGGAGAGCCTTCCGGGTGGGAAAAAAAAATAAAATTAATTCAGTCTTTCGGAATATTTTTCTTTACTCCTTGGCAACTAGAAGTAAAACTATCGGCATGATAGTAACAAGCATTGATCCATCTACCAAAATTGTGAAATTCATGGACCCTGGATCAAGGGTTCATGTGTTAGAGCGGGGCTCTAATGATAAAGTACTGAAATGCATTAGTTCATTGAAATCTTCTCTGCTCCTGTCGCCCGCGTGGCGCAGTGGTTATAAATTAGAGCGTCTGATCTAGAGTCGTGAAGTAAGGAGTTGATCCTTACGTCGCGGGTTCTTATCCCACTGTGTGACGTGGAGACCGGTCCTTCGGATGAGACCGTATAAACTGAGGTCCCGTGTCGCAGTAGGTGCTGGCACGAAAAATATCCCTCCCTGCTCAATGGCCCTAAGTGCCGAGTATAGGACAAAATTTGCAGCTCTCCACCGGCAAGTGGTGGCGTCTCCATATGAGTGAAAAATTCTCAAGAGGGATGTTAAACAATATCAATCAATCCTCTAAACCTGGATATCAAACCAGTAAACCATATACCTAATTATGATAAGGAACTTTATCTCTTCCCAAATTGTAGATTTCATGGACACTTGGTCAGGGCTTCTGGTGTTAGGGCGGGTCTCTTGATCTGGGAAAAATGCATTTATTCTTTGAAAGTCTTCTCTGCTCCTGCGTATTTTGCCAATTATGTAATGTAAGTACATATAGACCCTGAGACGTGCTACTACCCCACACGCTCGCTGCACGAACGGTACACGAACACTACACGGTTTGCACGAAACGCTGCACGGTTTACACGAAACGCTACACGGTTTGCACGAAACGCTACACGGTTTACACGAAACGCTTTGCACGAAAGGCTGCACGAAACGCTTTGTACACGTTTTTCACACGCTTTGTGCACGATTCTCGCACGGTTTGGCCTCGGTTTGGATTTTTCTACTCGGAATATCTCGGGCATTTTTACCGCTTTATCCAATTTATTAATTCAATGAAAATCGCTCAAAAAGCCACATTAAGCAGCTGTTTAAATTAAATTTAGTACATTTGTATTATAAAAACCGATAGAAATATTTAATACTCTGACAGTTGTAATTAATTGATAAATAATTGTCAGTTCGAATTTATTTATTTATTTATCCAACTGTTTAAAAACGAAATGCCGATATCGTGATTGACTGTTTAATAAAATACAATTTTTATATACAGGTATTAGTTATTCATTTCAATGTAATATTTTTACGAGTATAATTCGATAAATTGATTTAATAAATTGAACACAAATTCGATTTTTCACCGCAGGAATATAAACTCAATGATTTTTAATAATATTGATTATATTGTGTTTGATTTCCGTAGGCGGATTATTTTTTGTGATTTTGATTTTAAATTATAAATTAAATTTGCCTATATACTCTACTAACGATTAGGCCAGGTAAAATTAATCTTTAGATTCTCATCCTAATTTGCTTAAAAATTGGGGCGGGTGGGCGGATTTTATTTTTTATAATTTTTAAATTGTAACTATTAACAAAACATAGACTCTTCGTACACATTTTTTTTTCATCACAATAATGCAAATATGAATAGATTTTATTCTTTTCCTATTCTTTTAAATATTTAAAGAAGATTCTTGCTTTTAAAAATTAAATATTCATTGTTAATCAACAAATTATCAAGTACACATTATACGGCACACCCTTAACAAAATGAGGTGAGGATACCAATAAATTGTGTTTGCGTGACTTCTCATCGGCCTTTTCCCAATTATATGTTCCTCTTAGTTTTACCAACAAATCCCTTTCTTTTCTGTAAAATAATCATAGATTTCCATCTTCCTCTAAAATTTTATCGTTCTTGAGACTTGACATGTTTTCGACATTAAAATAGGTCATATTTGCAAAATCTATAAAATCTTCTAATTAATATTCTACTGAAAAATCTAGGCCTGGACAGTTTTAAGATTGACCATTTCCTTAGCACTTAACATTCTCTAAAGTCTGTCTAAGATGTTGTTTTTTTTATGCAAAATCACACACAGCTGGAGATCGTTATATATAACTTGACCAGGTGTCATTTTCCTCGTCTATATTTTTACTTAGTCATAATCTCTCTAAAACTTGCTCCTGCCAGTGATGTTATCTAAATGTGTTTATGCTATTTTTCTTCCCTGCCTTCTCTATACTGACAAATTATCCTTATATATTTAAATTGCTTTTATTGCCGATTTTTCTCCATTCTTCACATGGCTCTTTTGCTATAAATAGCGGCACGCGACTTTTAATACAGACGGGAGATAACTCTTAAAACTTTGATCCGAATTCTTGCTGAATAAAAATACATGAAAAAACCTTTAACACCAAAAAATTAAAAAGAAAAAACACCGGGGCGGGACACTTTGAGAGGGGCGGGCGGGGATGAGAATCTAAAGATTAATTTTATATGGCCTTATTGATACATTTTTAAAGATTTTTTTTTACGCAAGCATTATCAATAGGAGGGAAACCGGTAAAGGGGGGGGGGGGGGGTAATGTGATCTATTAATCTATTCTATTCTCTTTCTCTTTTTACATGAAGCTTATCAAATAACATCAGTATTCCCATCATACTGTAAAATCCTCCATTTCAAAACAGGACTAAACGTATGTTTTTATGTGTACATTTATTGATAGTCGCGGCATTTGACTATACATTGTACATACAATATAGATCGATCTTAACACCGGCATTCAGGTATATTACAAGAAAACTGAAATATCTTAGATGAAATAAAAAGTACGTGAGTTATAAAACAAATAATATACAATTATTCATGATTTACTCCTAAGCTTTTCTTACATGATATTCATAAAAAGACTACCAAATCAGTTCTGTTTATTTTTTACTGTTTACGGCTAGAAACTCGGATTTACAAATAAAAGATGAAATCCGCTGTTTTATAAGTTGTACCCATCAAATATTTATAGAACCATTTTATTTAAAAAAAAAAAATAAAATCCAGTCGTAATTTTCAGGTGTCATTAAGCCGTGAACTCAACATGTACATATAGCAAAACAGGTTTTCAGTTGCAATGCACTCGGAGCCCGTGATCGCTGTTGTAAATGACCTTGATCACAGTTGAAAGGCGGAAAGAAGATTCCAATACATTTTTAAGGGGTGTATCTGCGCATACATTTAACAACGTATTTAAACAAGAATAGAAAATTAAGCATTTAATTAAACTAACATTAGATTGAAAGCTACAACAAAAAATGAAAGACTGTACTAGTAATTTAATTTAACACCCCACCCACCCCCTCGTTTATAAAGATATGGTCGTCAGTGCATGTGAATTAAAATTATAAAATCCATTTTTTTGACAATAATGAGCAACAAGTTTTATGTATTAAAAGATATGAAATGACACTTCGTTTCAAATGTAAAGACAAGAGCGGAGTCCTGATATATTTTTGATTTAAATTAAAAAAATATATTACCGGTATTTCTTTCTTTCTTTGAGAAAAAATATTTAAGAAGCCACGATCGCGTTTATACATGTAGTATATTGAATACAATGCCCTTAAAATTGTTGTACATAGCTGATTTATTTGAACACATTTTCTATAGAAGGAAAAGAAATCAAACAAATATTAATCATACATTACCGTTTAATTTCATTTTGTTGTTCCATTTTTATGCGCCCGGATCGATAGATCCCGGGCGTATATTGTTTTTGTCCTGTCTGTTTGTCTGTTTGTTTTTCTGTCTGTTGTCAACTTTAACCTTCGCCATAAGTTTTGAACAATAAGAGATAGGGACTCCATATTTGGTATGCATACTCCACTAATAAAGTCATTTCAAATGACATCAAGGTCAATGATCTTATGACCTTGACTGTGACCTTTATGCTAAAATAGAATTTTCCACTTTTTGTCATAACTTTTTAACCATAGGAGATATGGACTTCATATTTGGTATGCATAATCCACTAATAAAGTCCTTTCAGACGACAAGGTCAATGATCTTGTGACCTTGACTGTGACCTATATGCTAAAAATAGCTTTTTACACTTTTAGCCATAACTTTTAAACCATAGAAGACAGGGACTTCATATTTGGGATGCATACTCCACCGATTAAGTTCTTTCAAATGACACCATGGTCAATGACCTTGTGACCTTGACTGTGATTAATATGCTAAAAATAGATTTTTTGAACTTTGTTGCCGCCGGGCGCATAGTGTTTCACAAACACATCTAGTTTTTTTTTTGTTTTTACTCCTATAATATCACAAGCATAACTAATTCAACTAGTGCTAATTGTAACGGGGACCGTTACAGATGTTCCCCAAACGCTCCCCAACTCCCTTTTGGTGCCATATTCCCTGTAAGCTTCATTAAATAAGACAACCTCTATGCATCTGAGATTTTAACAACATAAACAAAGAAGTGTACAAAAATCATTTAAACTTTAGCATTGCACGCGTGCACATGGGAATGCATTTGCGTCATTACCATATCGTCTTGTCTACACAATCTATATTTTTAACATACTGAATATTAAAGTATTTAATCCAAAATTATATAAAAAAAAAAATACGCTCATTCAAGTGTATGTTTGATTTTACTTATTTCACGTGCACGCACGTGCATACAGGAGCATGGTGACCATACCTTCTTGTAGAAGTCCATTACATCTATCTATGTTCTAAATTCCACCCCGTTTGGGTGAAAACTAAGGGAGTTATAGCTGTTTAAAGTTTCAGGCAATCAGATTGCAGCACATGTGCACGCACGTGTATGCATGTGCATGGTGACCATACCTACTTGTAAAAGTCCATTATATCTATCTATGTTCCAAATCCCGTCCTGTTTGGTTGAAAACCAAGGGAGTTATAGCTGTTTAAAGTTTCAGCCAATCAGATTGCAGCGCACGTGCATGCACGTGTTTTCATGATCATTGCTTTATTTCATGTTGTAGGATATCCTGATGCATGGCTATGTTCAAAATTTCAAAGGATTTCGTCAAAAAACAAGAAAGATATTGAGACTTTAGTTGGAGCCAATCAGAGCGTAGTGCACGTGCATGCACGTGAGATCTTGCTATTTTCACCATGTCGTCATGTCTATACTACTAATATATCCTCACATTATGAGTTTCAAAGCATTTCATTTAAAAAAAGAACAGTTGTGGCTATATCTATTATATTGGTCATTTCACGTGTTGCACGTGCACGCTCTTGCAAGCACGTGCGCGCAAAATGACCTTGATTCCGCAAATCTACATAACATGTCTACTAACCCTAAAAAGGTTTTACCTACATCGGACGAACTGTTAACAAGATCATTCCCGGACAAAAAAGTTCCAGGAAGAAGAAGAAGAAAAATAATAATAACTAGAAACGATCTCGTTGCGAGCAACGAGAGGTCTTCCGTCCGATTCTGAAATAAAAAGACGAAAAATCTAGCTGAAAAAAGTCGTAAAAATAATTCGGTCACATGGGGGATCGAACCCGGGTCGCCCGCGTGAAAATCCAACGCGCTAACCATTACGCCATCGGGAACACCGCTTCAAAATTTTAAATGCGAATTTCTCGAGATTGGCTTCCTTACTTCTAAAACAAATTACACATTTCGCATTCATTTAAGAGTCTCTATTAACCCTATAAAAATCAAAGAAAAATAATGAAAAACAAAAAAGTTGAAAATTTTGATTTTTTTCATTCGCTTCCGGTAGCGACCGGAAGTACTGACGACACACGAAAAGGACATTCCGCATATCTAGAAGTCATGCCCTATGTTCTCCAACAAGTCTCCAGTTCATATCTTCAGTAGTTCTTTAGATCTCGAACTGACAAAATTTCATTTTAAAATCAGGAAAATGGCCATAACTTGGCACCAAAAGTGAGTTGTTCCTAAATTCTTCCAAAATTATCAATGGCATATAAGAGCGCATCATCCCTGAAAGTTTGATGAAAAACCGATGAATAGTTCTCGAGATATCGCGTGCACAAAATTTGTCTAAAAAATAAGAATAATAATAACTAGTGCTAATTGTAACGGGAACCGTTACAGATGTTCCCCAAACGCTCCCCAACTCCCTTTTGGTGCCATATTCTCTGTAAGTTTCATTAAATAAGACAAACTCGATGCATTTGAGACTTTAATAACGTTTACCCAGAAGTGTACAAAGTTCATTCAAATTTTGCGTGCGTATGTGAATGCATGTGCGTAATGACCATATCATCTTGTCTACACAATCTATATATTTTTATATACTAAATATTAAAGCATTTAATCCAAAAGTAATAAAAAGATACGCTCATTCAAGTGTTCTTTTTTTATTTTGCTCATTTCACGTGCACGCACGTGCATACATGAGCATGGTGACCATATCTTCTTGTAGATGTCCGTTACATCTATCTATGTTCTAAATCCCACCCCGTTTGGTTGAAAACCAAGGGAGTTATAGCTGTTTAGAGTTTCAGACAATCAGAATGCAGCGCACGTACAAGCACATGTATGCATGTGCATGATGACCATACCTTTTTGTAGTAGTCCAGCATATCTATCTATGTTCCAAATCCCATCCTGTTTGGTTGAAAATCAAGGGAGTTATAGCTATTTAAAGTTTTAGCCAATCAGATTGCAGCGCACGTGCATGCACGCGTTTTCATGATAATTGCTATATATCTTGTTGTAGGATATCCTAATGCATGGCTATTTTCAAAATTTCAAAGGATTTCGTCAAAAAATAAAAAAGATATTGAGACTTTAGTTTCAGCCAATCAGAGCAGAGCGCACGTGCATGCGCGTGAGATCTTGCTATTTTGACCATGTCATATTGTCTATGCTTCTAATATATCCTTATATTATAAGTTTCAAAGCATTTCATCAAAAATTAAAAAAGTTACGCCTATATCAATTAAATCGGTCATTTCACATGTTGCACGTGCACGCTCTTGCAAGCACGTGCGCACAAAATGACCTTCGTTCCACAAATCTACATAACATGTCTACTGACCCTAAAAACATTTCACCTTAGTCGGATGTATAGTTTACGAGATCATTCCCGGACAAAAAAGTACCCAGGAAGAAGAAGAAGAAAAATAATAATAATAAGAAACAGAGTAAAAACAATATGTTCCCCAACTTCGTTTGGGGAACATAATAATAAGAAACAGTAGAATCACTATAAGGTCTTCCGTGAAGACGGAAGACCTTAATAATAAGAAACAGAGTAAAAACAATATGTTCCCCAACTTCGTTTGGGGAACATAATTATAAAATACTAATAGAATTTTACATCCTGACCCATCGATAGCCAAATGACTTCCGAATGAATCTTACACGATTCTTGCACGAAAGTCGCATGTTTCTCACACGGTTCTTACACGAAAGTCGCACGTTTCTCACACGCTTTTCGCACGCTCGCTACACGGTTTGCACGAAACGCTTTGGAGCTTACACGAAACGCTGCACGGTTTACACGAAACGCTACACGGTTTGCACGAAACGCTACACGGTTTTCACGAAACGGAAAGCGCATGAAAGCCACACGCTTTTTTGGGGTAGTAGCACGTCTCAGGGTCTGTAACTACGACGAAGAAGGGTGCCTCTTCCAAAATAATGAATTTCATAGCCCCATGGTCAGGAGTAACGGGGGGGGGGGGCGGTCATGAATTTATACTGAAATTGAATTAATGCTTTGAAATCTGCTGCTTGGTATTAATCAAAGATATAAGATGAGAAAAAGTACCTTTTCCAAAATAGTTTAATGTGTGACCCCAGGGTCAGGGTGTCTTGTTTGGTGGGGGACTACTGATTAAATTGCGGAAATGGATTCTCTTTCTGTTCCACTGCTCTGTCCTTGGGTAAAACTATTTATTAATTTGCAAAATAAATTGCATGCAGGAAGCGGTATTGTTGAAGCAACGTTGTTCACGTTTTAGTCACACTTACTGCAAGAAGAATTTGGAAGAGAACAATTCTGCTTTGTGAGTCTCTCTTTTTTCTCTTTTCAATTTATGCATCATCATAAGATGAAAACAAGATTATTACACGCCCAAAATTTTCAAAGAGATTTAAAAAATTCTGATGGAATACAGTGTATTTTATGGTCACATATCCCATGATATTGTTTTCATTACAGTTTCAGAGACAACTTCCTAAAGCTGGTAATATATTATGAAGATACTAACTACGAGGAAATTTCAGAAGAACCGTCATATGATGTGAGATTGTCAGGAGACTTATTGCTATCCAGTTTTGTCCTCCGTCGTGCGTCGTGTGTTATCATTTGAACATTTTCAGGTTCTTCTCTGAAACCACTGCACCAATTTGAACCAAATTTAGCGTTGGGAGGTTCTATGATATAGTGAAAATGCATTCATTCTTTGGAAATCTCTCTTCTCTGCTCCAGGGTGTTTAATACCGATGTTCTAAGTAAATATTTATGATGAGCAAGGATTCCAAATACCAAATTTGTGAATTTCAAAGCCCTTGAGTCTGAGATACCAGGGGCTCTTATGATTATACTAGTATACTGAAAATGATTGATTGATTGATTGATTGTATATTGTTTAACGTCCCTCTCGAGAATTTTTCACTCATATGGAGACGCCACCACTTGCCGGTGGAGGGCTACAAATTTTGTCCTATGCTCGGCACTCAGGGCCTTTGAGCAGTGAGATCTTTTTCGTGCCAGCACCTACTGCGACACGGGACCTCGGTTTATACGGTCTCATCCGAAGGACCTAGTCTCCACGTCCCGCAATGGTATTCGAACCTGCGACGTAAGGATTGACTCCTTAATTTGCGACTCTAGAGCAGACGCTCTAACCACTGCGCCACGCGGGCGACTCAGAAAATGAATTAATGCTTTGAAATCTGCTAATTGGTATTAATCAAACATTTATGATGAGCAAAGGTGTCTTTTTTAAAATTGTGATAAGTGTCCCCAGGGTCAGAGATTTCTGTGGGGTTGGAGGGGTACTTGGGCATATATTCATACGCCCAGAATACTTCTATGGAGACCGTTAAATTGAACACATCTTATTTTATGAATTGAAAAAAAACCCGTTTGAATACAAATTCAAAAAAACCTACGAGATTTACCTTAATTTAAAACTGCAAATAGTTTGGTTGATTTGTTTTTGATAAACATTGAAGTACATTTATTTGTTAATAAATATGATTTGTTTTAAAATACGCATTTACATTAGAGTATTGTCTTGTCGGCTGAAAAAACAGGATCGGCCGACACAGTATCGGGCGACACGGAGCAGTCACATTTTTTCCGAAGGACACCGATGACTTGGATAAATATAACACAAAAAATCTTTTTTCTTTAGAAATCAGCAATATTTTTTCATAGAGCTATTTTCAGATAGGTGACGTGAGTAATGTTTGCAAGGCAAAGTGGCAGAATCTTATGAATTTGTGACTCAATGTTGAAAATGTGTGTAAGATTTGTATGGAATTGCATAAAAACGACAAATGCTGCATATCTAAGCAGCAAAGAATACTTCAGATTTCTTTATATCTTACGGATTAATTATTTATGTTATCTCCGTTCAAAAAATTTATATCAATCCATGCATCAAAATTTTGTTTGTGTTATGTATCCTTAATACATGTAGGTTAAATATTCACAAGTCGGCCAATCGTCGCCCGATCATCGAGCTCTGAGCTACAGTTTGATTTTAACCGTCGGCCGAAATTTTCAACACCCTTATTGTCCAACGACGGACAACCGACTTAATAAACTAACAGCCGATGGTCGGACGACGATCGAAGGTTGGTCGACGGATAACTGCACTTGAAGAAATCGGCCACCGACGCATGAAAAATTATAACTTGGACCGATGGACACAAAATTGGTCGGCCGACAAAAAAATAGGTCAAAATCGGCCAAGACAGCGGCCGATGAACTGACGACTGTCACCCGAAGAATCCCATTTTTGCTTCAAAAGCAGTCGGCCGTTGGTCGTTTTTGGAAATGTGACTGGGGTTTTAGATACATAAGGAGAATTACTGATAAGACGTGAGCACTGTTTTCAATTCACTGGTACTGGATTAAAAGTTGTTTTCAGTTGGACTTATGTATTTACTAGTATATCACTATTGAGCACATGAATGGCTAGATGTATCAGGACAAAGTTAAATACTAGTATATGAATTGGTCAATGAACATTTTTAGTTCAAAGTGGGTGATGTGTTTATGCAGTATAAATATCTCGACCATCGACCCTCAGAAAGTGTAATGAGCACTAGATAAAAGTACTTATTGTACTAAAAAAAAACCTTATCTTCAGAGCAGTTACAGCTGTATGGAGCATTTGAGGGTAATTCTTACCTGAAACATTTGCTGTTACCAAATCAATTAATTTTACACATGTTCAAATACTACTTGGCATGAGGCTGCCAAGGACGCAAAAGATATCCTGTGTGGGACCCAAAGACTTTTGTACTTTAAAAATGAGGGTAAATTTAGCAACTCTCGTACCAGGTACCTCCATGTATGTTTCGCTTGAAAAAGCGATTTGTTTATGTGCTCATGAAAAGCAATCCTTGCGAGACGAAATGTAATCTATTGTGTTCATCCAGTTCCCCAGATGAATACTGGTACATGTAACTTACATCCTAGTTAAATCTCAGAGAACCATCAAAAGATTTTCCAGGCATTTGACCGTATTTTCTGTAAAATTTGGGATGATCTCTACTCCCATCCTGACCTTCTTTCGTGTGTCTTTCACCATGTTCAATACAAGGCTCGTACACTTTATTAGCTTGATCTCTACTAACGACTCACCGGTCACGGTAGCCTAGTGGTAGAGCGTTCGCTTCGCGATCGGGAGGCCCGGGTTCGATTCTCGATCGCGGCGCCGCGTCATACCTAAGACGTAAACAAAGGTAGTGACTGTTCCTTCGCCAAGCGCTCGGCACTTGAAGTGATAGTCACGGGTCTTTCGGATATGACCTTAAAAACGTACGTCCCGTGTCACGGTAGGCGTTGGCACGATAAAGAACCCTCACTGCTCAATGGCCCTGAGTGCCGAGTATAGGTCTAAATTTGAAGCCCTTCACCGGCATCGATGACGTCTCCATATGAGTGAAAAATTCTCGAGAGGGACGTTAAACAATATACAATCAATCAATCTACTAACGACACCAACTGAAGATATATTCTATCTCCTTCAAGGTCTATTTTGGAACATATACAAAGGCTGTTTAATAAATAATGTATCTCGATGCTCAGAAAGAAGCAATACATGCTTTCCAATGATTTAGTCTTAATGATATAACTTAATATTCTCTATTTATTCAAACACATGTCCTTAACATTCTTATCAATTACTTTAGAACTCATTTTTTGGAATGACCCTTAGTATACTGGAAAATGGCAGATCCTATGATTTCCTTGACTGTTTCTTTTTTCTAAAAGGTGTTTTTTTTTAAGTTTGGAAATAGAAACAAGTCAAAAGGTCAAAGATCTGGCAAAAAAAAATAAATGCAAAAAAATCATTAACTTTCTGTTTATCCCCTTAACTCCTTTACTCTTCAGGGCGTACGGTTTTGGACGCTGTCATGACGAAATTTTATGTAGTGTATTCCTGATTCTGGTTTCTTTCTCTTATAGCCCCGTGGGGATCCGGGTTGGAATAGGTCCTCAGTACCCCATAATTTGACGTAAAAGGTGACTAAATGGGGCGGTCCTTCGGATGAGACCGTATAAACCGAGGCCCCGTGTCACAGCAGGTGTGGCACGATAAAGATCCCTCCCTGCTCAAAGGCCGTAAGTGTCGAGCATAGGCCTAAATTTGCAGCCCTTACCGGCAATGGTGACGTCTCCATATCAGTGAAATATTCTGGAGAGGGACGTTAAACAGTATACAATCAATCAATCAATCTTCCTCTAAAAACCTTTTGATTTTTTGGCACACAAATTGCTTTCTGTATCTAGACTCCTCCAGAAATGAAAACGTCTCCGAGAATATGAATTCGAAAAATATCAAATAAAAGATTATATAATGGGCATCAAAAATGGGTATCGTCCTTATCAACAAAAAAACCAACTTATGTACTGTTCGCCAGATATCAACAAATACTTAGTACATAAGGTGTTGTTTTTTTTTTTTGACAAGGACGATATCCATTTTTGATTCCTATTATATAATTTTTTATCATTAAAACCCACCTGCTCATTCGTCTATAAAACATGCATTGGTTGCTGTAAATTTTACAGATTTCAGTAATTATTTCTTTGCGATTTTTAACAAGTCTTACAGCAGCTTTAATAAATCTTTTAATTCCACTCTAGTTTACTGACTCTTTACCATTCATTTATAATGCAGTGTCTCGAATAGCTCTTGTTTTCCAGCTTCTCACAATGAATCTATGTGATGAAAAGTGGTCTCATAAACTGTTATAAGTTCATTAAAGATTCAATAATGAGAGAAAGTCAAATTTAATGTTTGTGATATCTGTCTGTGATATGATGTCTGTATTGTAATACAATTCAGGACATTATTTATTGAATATCTCTCGTAAGCATTGGTTAGATCCAGCCATATGACTGTAAGTTCTCCTTTCATCTCTTTAGCTTCCGGTATAATCCCTGTTAGAACACATGTATGCCCTACATACCACGGGACCCCTGGCACTTCTTCTTTCTGCATTCTTGTTATACAGCATGTAGGTTGTCATCCTCTTGGCCAAAATATCCAGGAAAATGTGCCCTTTGATGTGCAACAGGGAAATGGTACGGAACTACTTGTGAATTTGAGTTTTCCTCCTTTGCAATAAATCATCCCTCAGCTTGGTGCCAACTGTCAGCTTACTTCCTCCTTCTCCACACAACTCTCAGATATTTCCAAACGTTGGGATTATCTCGAACAGTTCTTGCAAACTTGGTATGGTCATTGGGATAAAGCTGCTCTAGCCTTCCTGGATTCTTTTACTTCTGGAAGCTTTGGTTCTTTCATCAAACAAATTGTCTTGATTGTCAGCCTGAATCAGCTTCTCAAAATCTCTTAAATCTTCATTCCTCCTTAGATCAGTGTGCCTATCGTTCAAATATTGTTCGAATTACTCTCTTCCCGCTGTAATCTTTCCTGGTCCTTTGCTGTTTAAAAGTATTGATATAATTTGGATGTGTTGGGTTTAAATCGTATTCTTGCTCTCGCCTCGCTCGCTCCTTTTTTCATCATGCTTTTTTCTGTCTTTCATATGATTTTTATTTTCTCTTTTATGTTTGTATTTGATTAGGCTTAAGCAGGTCGTTCCCCCTCCTCTGATGTTTTTAACCGTCTCGCCAGCCTTTGCAGCCCCCCCCCCCCCCCAAGATTGGTCATCTTCTTGTCTTCTGCTCTTATTCGCCACTGAATCGGAACGCATCCCTCCTTTCCTTTCCCATGTGTATTTTCAGCCCGCGCTCATTCTTTAAGGTCTTTCCACAACTTCATCTGCTAAAATTTAAACTATCAGTTATCTCTGTCCTGATCACATACAACATCCACACTAACTCGGCTGTCACTGTCAAATTAAAGGTCCTGACACAGGAATTTTCATTTGTAAAGAAATTTCTAGCACCAACTATTCAAGGTTAAATTTGAGTAAAATTTTGGAAAACTTGGTCAGACTCCAAGGTAAAGGTCAAGGTCAAATTTGATGGTACCCAAGTTCTTGTCACAGGAAATACACCTTTGGAATAAGACAGAGATAATCTCAACCCATTAAAAGTTATGGGCAAGGTTGAAGTTTGTGGACAGACAGAATAACAGACAAACAGACAGACAGACGGACAGGGCAAAAACTATATACCCCAGAATCTTTGATTACAGGGGCATAAAATCTTGTCCTTACTGAATTTTCAAATTTTGGTTTATCATTGTCAGTGAAAAATAATAAATAAATGTAACCCTTTCATTCGGTCAATCCATAGATATATCAAATTCACTAAAAAGCATTTTAACATCGCACTCTGTACTTGATGGATATGCGTTTCTGTTAAATTGATATATACATGTATCTATCGATTGAACTCATAAATTGTTAAAATTGATTCACTAATGTTTTTATTTCAGGGCTTCAGATTTTTGTCGGATTTAGGAGGAGCCATGGGACTTTTCTTGGGCGCTTCTGTTTTGAGTTTTCTCGAATTGGTACAGCTGTTTGTTGAACTTTCCAATTACCTTCGTCGCAAATGTCTTCAAAGAAAAAACAAAGTAAATGAGAGTCCGAATAACACCGTTAATCCGACCAAAGATACCAAAGATTCAAAAAACATATTCACAGTTGCTATGGATGAAAGGGATAATGTATAATGTATAAATTTTTTAATTTAGGCAATCGACTTATTGAAATCTTCAATCATTTCAAATATAGATTCATAGATTAAAATAAGCCTTTCGATGCATTTTATCGGACCAAAGAATCAAAGTGTTTGCAGAGGTCGTAAGGCATTTATCGAATTTCTTAAATTTTATAAGAAAACTTATAAGAAAAGATAAATGATATCTGGGTGATTAATGTGAAAAAGAGACCTATTTCAATAATTAAAAATAATTTGGTACTCAGTTATTTAAATAGATCCATATTGGTCAAAGAAAACTTTTTAGTATATACAAGGGCCATTCAAAAATTATGCGGACTCTGCAATTATGAAATTCACAGAAATATGTATCTTTAAGATTCCAATAAATTTAAGACAAAAATTATGTATTTAAAAAAAATTCTCCTAAAACTGTCGCTTATGGAGCGTTACGGAGCACGACAAAAAAAAATGAAACAAAAGCGCGCGAAATCCAAAATTAAACTCATTAATTTTCTATAATTCGCGATATTTTTCAACAATTTTCTCAGATGTATCTATATATTTTTCTATTACTATGTATTTAGATTTCTGATGTGATATTTGAAGTACTAACAGAAATATAGTGATTTTTCTCCCATGTGATGACTGTGAAAACGACGTCTCCTGAATTGACACACCATACTTTTGTAAAATCGTGTGTAATTCTCGAGATATTGCCAACATAAATCCAAAATATGCATAATGAAACATGTAGTAAACTAGGATATTCGTTACATTTGTGTACAAGTAGCAAATTGTAATTTTAGACCGTTAAAATTCCTCAAAAAGGCTATACGGGAGGACGGGAAGAATATTATCGACAAAAACTTTATCCTGACTTTAAAGAGCGTTATTGAGAGTGACCAATGTCACACTATGTCTAATGAGTACCTGCAGTGTTTGATTTTAAAACAAAAAAGAACATGCTTTACCGGTACTTGTTTTATAGATTTTAAGCTTGACAAAAAATGGTGTATGGATGGTGAGTAGATAAGGTAACTCAAACTGTACAGGAACTCTTGGGAAAATGTTGAGATAATGAAAGCTCATTTTTTCCGATAATAATGCCCGTGACGTCGAAGATTTTGCTGCTCCATGACTTAATGCACACTGATAAATTACCCAAAATTGATATCAATTTAACACATTTTGATATTAATATTTGAAGACCATATAAGTAAAGATTCTTTTCTATTATATGTGAAATTTTGCCCTATTATGTTGTAAAATATTTTTTGTGTGCAAAAAGTCCGCGTAATTTTTGAACGGTCCTCATATGGAAGTCATTTCATTATTGTACTTGCATCTTTACAAAAATGTATTGAATTCCTGATCATATATAGAATCTGAATCACAGACAGACCATGCAAGTGATACTTGTAAATTAATGTCGTAAAAATGTTCTTTGTGTATTTTTTTATTCAAAATAGAAATGAAAGAATCATGCACTGATGTAAGTTTTTCCATGCTTAAGAGCAAAACATTAAATGTTTCATTTCTGATAAAAAAAAAAAAGAGCTAAGCACGAGACATAACTCTTATAAATGATGTTTTAAATTTAATTTTTTTAAAGGTGCATGAACACAAATTCTAAGTTAATATTTTCTGTATAATATCACGACATATATTTTAATAGCATTTCACACAAAAATATATTAAAAATTTAATTTCATCTTAAAGTTATCGAAAATTCAAATTTTTGGCTTGGTTTGACTGACACATCCTTGCACTTTTACAAATTTTACTTTTATTCTTAATTTTAGGAAAAGTGGCAATCTTGGTGTGTATTAATGAAAAATATTAAAATTCTTAATGCATTAACTCAATATCGTAATAGTTTAACACTCATAAATTTAATTTATAAATTATAAATTTAATTTATAAATTATAAATTTATAAAGTGATCTCCACTGAACCTATTTAATTATGAAAGTTTTGCAATAAAATAAAACAATTATTTACACTTATAATTACATTTACAAAAGTATTTAACAAAAGACTTACCAAAATTAAGGAATTTAGGCTCTCCAGAAAATAGGAAATTTACTAAGTGCTGTGCTGTACTAAAAGAATTTAACATGCAAGTTTTTTAAAGACTGGAAAGATATAAATGCAGAAATCTCATCCTGAAACAATGCTCAAACTTCGAAGATAAAAACCAAACAAAGAGTCAAACATACCATGACTGAAAATCTAAAGTCCACTAAACTCAAATATTAGAAAGTACACGACCTGCTGGCACAACAGCACTGGACAAAGGTGTAAAACACCCCAAAGAAATCCATGTGATATATCTATCAATCGGTCAACTGAGTTTTGGCGGGGAAATAATTAATTCAACAAAATTTTAAAATAAGTTAACACAAACACTTCTAATAACTTTTATATATATGTAAAACTTTTATTTACCTACCTATATTTCATAATTATGAATGCATGAAAATAAAACCATAATTTTAAAGCTATATACACAAAATTCTGATAAGCTACAAAAACACCGTTATTTTAGTGCAGTGTTACAACGCACTTTGAAAAATTTTTTCAAAGTGCGTTAAAATTTGGGACCAAGCTAACGCACTTTGAAAAAATATTTTTTTTTTCAAAGAGCGTTAATATCGACCATATTAACGCACTTTGAAAAAAATGTAAATATTGATCAATATTCCTCCAAATAATCGGTATGATAAATAACAGATCCTGGTTTGATAACTTTTTTATGATAAATTCACTGTAGGACCTGAGATATTGACGTTTTAAATATGTAAGGTTTTGATAAAATAAAAGGGAAAATTAAAGGGTCTTGACAAAAAGAGTGATGATTGTTTAAGTTCATTAATTCGTTTCTTCTTTTTTTTAAAAATTCTAGTCTTTGATAAGTAGATGTAAAGGTGTATAGGGGGCGTTGTGGCAACGCACTTTGAAAAAATTACGCACTTTGAAAAATTTTTTCAAAGTGCATTAAAATTGGGACAATATCAACGCACTTTGAAAAAATTTTCAAAGTGCGTTAAATTTGGGACCAACTCAACGCACTTTGAAAAAATTTTTCAAAGTGCGTTCAGATTCTACATCAATATAATTTACCATGGAGACACTTAACGCACTTTGAAAAAAAATCATATTTTAGTCATGGAAAGATTTTATTTGTTATTTTACTTATTTATCTTTCAAAAAAAATAAGCCTAACCCTAACCTCAAAAATGATTTGATTTACTCCTGTCGAAAAGAGGAGGAGACGGGTATAAGATTCCTCAGTCCAAATCTTTATCTTTCCAATACATAGGTGTCGGTAACAAACGGGGGAGGGGAGCAATAAACCTAAAAAGGGTACGCTGCATTTTCAATGATTATACGATGTATATATCTTTCCAAAATAAGTGGGGGGCTTAGCCCCCATCCCCTCCCCTGGCCCTTCGCCCAGTCTCGATGTCTATGCTATACTCAAAGCATTCATATAATTATGTATTTACCTAACGGGTATGACGTTGAAAACTTTCAATAATAAATGAGTTAATGGCGTTGAAAACTTTCAATAATAAATGAATTAATTAAAACAGATGAAAACAAGAAATTTTTAAGTACAGTAAAACGTATGAGAGAGAAAGAATTTTCATAGTTTTGAACAATCAAATTGGCCCCTTTTTATTATGATAAATGCTAAGTTGCTGGAAGCTTTTCGAAGGGAGTAAATCAATTTATTTTTGAGATTAGGGTTAGGCTTAGTTTTTTGAAAGATAAATAATAAATAAGATTTTCCCTTACTAAAACGTGATTTTTTTTTTTCAAAGTCTCCATGGTAAAATATATTGATGTAGATTCTTAACGCACTTTGAAAAAAAATTTCAAAGTGCGTTGAGTTGGTCCCAAATTTAACGCATTTTGAAAATTTTTTTCAAAGTGCGTTGATTTTGTCCAAATTTTAACGCACTTTGAAATTATTTTTCAAAGTGCGTAATTTTTTCAAAGTGCGTTGCCACAGTGCAAGTTGATAAATATGTGACCGATGATTTATTTGAATTCTTCAAGATGCCTTTCACAATGCATGCTTTCAGGGACGACATTTGTTATTTTACCTGTATTTCTAAGATGTGTTTTGTTTTATACTTATCTAAAAAAAATCTAACTGGAAGAACTGTAAGTCAAACCTGTACAAAGCATATCTTTTTAATTTTTTTTCAAATCCGAAAATACAACTAAATTATATATTGACTGTTTTAAATGCAATTTTTTATGACAAGGAGCACACGGCGGGTGCGACCAGTCAGCAGGGGATGCTCACTTTTCCATGGCACCTGATCCTACCTCTGTTGTTTAGGAGGTCCGTGTTTGCTCTGCTCCTATTTGTATTGTTTTATGGACTTTGATATTGAATACTGTTCATTATCTCCATATCCTTCTTCATTAAACACGACAAAAAAGTAGATTAAGGCTTTCTTAATTACAGAAAATGTGATGGACTATCTGGCTATCGAGCTTGTACATTTTGTCTTTATTCACCGCATGAAGTTTGTTATTCTTTGTGTAAAACTTTGTTTAAATAATTAAGCATAATTTTGTGTTCGTTATACATTTGTTTTATACATACTTGTCATACATCTATTGTCATAACAGCCAGTGTGTCTGATTTTTCATGCCATTTTTTTTTAAATAATGTTTCTTACATTTATCTTTCCCAAACGAAGATTTGAAATACATTGTTCTTATTCTGTTTCTTCTCAATAATTTTCTTCAAAGAAAACCTCTGACCTTTCTTTTGCCGATTGATGTCACTTCTGGTCCGACTGGAAGTAATCGTAATCTGCGTATTTTCCTATTATGTAGGCATAGATTTTATTGATTAAGATTTAATTAATACCCACCGAAATGACGTTCGTCAAAAACATTCTTTCTTAAAGCGCACTTATGGGCAATGATACTTTTTTCAATATCTTTTGGAAATGATTTTGACATGGTTTACTTAATTAAAATACT